CCAACTGTGGGCACAAGTACTTGCCAAAGTTGGGCAAACTCTGTCAACCAAAACTTTGCTTGCCAAAGTTAGGCCAACCTTGGGCCAACCTTTAAACTCTAGCGAACAACCTAAATTCGCACCTGGGATATTGTTTAAAATAAGCAATACAAAAGATAAAATTCGCTCAAAAAATAATTTTTCACCTCCTGATGATTATCGGCTGTGGATATTTATTTATTATTGTGAATTAAATTCATTTTTATGACCCAGATATTAATTGGAATTGTTTTAGCCATAGTTTAGGTCCAGTAATGTAAATTCTATTTAAATTGAGACCATTGAGGAAAATTATTAGAATTTAAAAAAAATTGGAAGTTCGAATTTGTTAAATTTTTTTTTGTAAACTTAAAAGTTGCCTTCAAATTTTTTAAAATAAACAGTTCAGTAGAACATTCCCGCGCGCTTGCGCGCGGATAGTTTGACTAGTACATTATAATAATCGTAAGTTTCCTTTTCTTTAGCAAATTATCTGCATTCATTTGTTTGTTTTGAAAATTAAATTTTGTGGGTTAAGTATTGGCATTTTTTATATTTTTTAATGTCAAACTTTTCAATGTGTTTTGATGTGTTTCAATGGTTGTTTTATATTATGTGTTTAATTCAATTTTTAACTTTTCAACTATCATTCATTCTGAAGGTAAATACTTTTTTATAATTTAATTTAATGTTAACATTATTTCAATATTATTAAAAAAAGTTATTTGATATAACATTCAATTGAATTTTATTTTCATAAATTTCTTAATTACAGAATATTTAGTTTTTTAACTTTTTAATAATTTTTTAACTTGCAAAACTCTAAATACTGTAATTATTAAAAATATAATATTTATTTTTCATAATTTTTGACAGATATAATTATTATTAGAAATAATTACTATATTATTAAAGACTAAAACATAAATTTAAGTTATCAAAGTATATTTTACAAAATAGTAATTTAATAATACAATTTTTATTTCTTATAATTTTTATAACATAAAAATACTGCCGAGTAAATGATAATTATAAAGTTAAAAATTTAATTAAACAACCAATGTATAGAATTAAATTAGATGAAAAATTTTTTTTTTGTGGATTCTTAATATATTAATTTAAATAATTTGTAGGCCAGTTTTTCCACAATTTGTTTGTTTATTAACTTTTTTTGTTAAAACAACGTTTCGGTAGTAGCCACTACCCTTATCAAGTTTAAAAACGAATTTAGAATTTTTTAATTTGATGCTTCATTATATTATATTACATCTTGTAATTAAATAATTAATGCAAGTTATAATTAGTATTTTTACTACAGATTTTTTGTTTTCCAAAGAAATTAGAATTAAAAGTTGTTTAACTTTATCATTTTCAATTAATTTAATATTTTGCAGTTATGTTAGATTCGAAAGATACGGAATTCTTTGTTTAAAAGCTAAATGAATAATTATTTTTTTAATTTTTAGAATAATTAAAAGTTTCGTTATCAAAATTATTTTTAATTTTTAAATTATTTTGAAAATAAAAGTATAAAATATGTAACAATTTTTGCGATATTCAATTTTCTTCGTACAACAAGAATGTTTAACAGCAGTAATAGCATTTTAACAAAATTTATCGGATTCACTTGTAATTCGTTTCTAATGCGTTAAATTTGACATTAAATTTTAGAAATTCAAAATAGAACTTCCTTTTCAGGATTCCTACAGAAATCCGAATTTAAAATTCCATACCTTTTCGATGATTTCCAGGTCAAATTTTTACGAAATTCCAGTGGAATTTTAAATCTAATTTCAATATTTTTGGGCTCTTTAAAAACACTTTACTTATTTAATAGTCTCCACCCTTTGGTAAAAATTCTAAAATTATCAAAATTTATCAAAAATTCGAAAAACCGATTTTTTTAAAATTCAACAGTTTTTCTTCTCTTTGATAGTATTTAGCTTCATTATTTTTGTGCTCTTGGAAAATACTTTAATTATTAAATAGTCTCAACTCTTTGGTAAAAAATCTAAAATTATCGAAAATTATCAAAAATTCAAATATCCGAATTTCTTAAAATTCAACATTTTTTCCTCTCTTTTATGCGATTTAGCTTTATTATTATTTGAATTTCTATTCAAGAGAAAAAATGAAAAACTGAAAAATTTAGAAACTTTTAAAAATTCCAGGCCTTTTCCATGATTTCCCTGATTTCCAGAAGCCTTTTAAAAATTCCATACCATTTCCATGATTTCCAGATTCTGTAGGAACCCTGCTTTTGTCTGACTTTCTTCTAAATTATCGAATTCAGTGATTTCTGAGGTGAATTTGGTTAAGTTGTAAAATGATTAATTTCTATTTGAATTCGTTTTTTTGAATGTAGAAAATCTGATGTTAATTTAATTCTTTTTTCGTTATGCACGGCAAAAAATATTTAGCTGGATAAACTACAGATTTCACTTTAGTAGCGAAATTTTTCAGTGCTTCAATTAATACTTTCGTTATTCTAAAGAAACTTATCGCTACTTCAAGTAAAACTTTTTTCAGTGTGTAATAATTATTATTTCTTAAAAAAGTATTTAAATTAAAATGGGTTTATAAAATAAGCAATGCAAAAGATGACCCAGATACTAATTGGAATTGTTCTATCCATAGTTTAAGTCTAGTAATGTAAATTCTATTTAAATTGAGACCATTGAGTGAAATTATATGAATTTTAGTTAGTTAAATCTCTTTGTTAGGTAATAATAATTATTTCTTTAAAATTTTTTTAATTGATTAAAATAAGGAGTTCCATACAACATTCCCGCGCGCTTGCGCGCGGATAGTGTGGCTAGTAAATAAATAAACGAAAATCTACTTTTAATGAAAATATCGCAAATAAACAAATATTAATTTTATTTCAATCAAATAGACGAAAGTTTATTTTTTATTTTAAAGCAACCAAATGAACGAAAATTCATTTTACTCTTATTTATGTATTGAATAAATAAAAAAAAATTCATAAAATAACTTTTAGAAAGATTTGCAACAAATATTATTTAATTAACTGAAATGTAAATTTATTTATTATTTATGATTATTTATTAAAACCCAATAATGACTGGACAGGTGGACGATTTTTGAAATTAATTAATTAATATATATATATATATATATTACTTGCACTTAAGTTTAAAAACAAAATAAAATTTTATTTCACAAATTAAAAAAAAATTTTACTTTTTTAAAATATTCTATATCTATTTATATTTAGTGGTGAATTTTTAAACTTCTTGTTGTAATCATTTAAGTGAATGTCAAATTGAAAAGGCGTAAAAAATTAATAAATGTCATGAATTATTTTTTTTTCTTCTTCTAATTTAAAAAAAAGAAAAAAAAATACATTACTCTAGGTATGTCAGCAATTCCACTTTTTTTTAAAAATAATTTATTACCGCACGTCAATTATTAATTAAAAACATTAAATCAAATATAGTAACTCTCATCATTAAATTGAATTGTCAATAAAGTTACTTGTCGCCTTAAGCATTGCTATTAATTACACAATTTTATTACTTACATATAATATTTTAAAAGCAAACCTGTGGCCAATTAAAATATTTCGAGAACTATTTTTTCTCCTACAAAAAAACAATTATAAGAATTTTAATATTAAAATGTTTTCGAATATTAATTCTTCAAAATTTCAACCCGAAATATTCTTTTCTTTCTAAATGGGAAGTCATTTAGTTTTTTAATTTTTTCGGTAAAAATGTAATGCTTAAGGGTATATGGGAAAAAACTCTCCAAAAAGTGATTTCCCGTGTATATCACCCCCTCTAATGCTTTTAAAATTCAATTATAATCTAAAATTTTAACTGAAATCCATTTTTAAATCAATGTTTATCAGAAAATTCTACTAGAATTCAATTATTTAAATACAAAAATAACAATTTATTGAGTACCTAACTGCATTATGTTTCTTAAAATTGAATTCTCATAAATAATTTTATCTATAAATTTTTAAATAACTGAATTTTTTTGACGAATTTTAATAAAATTTTTAAGAATTTTTTCGAGGAATTCGATTAAAATTGTATTATAAAAATAATTGAAATTCTGCAATGAGTTTTATTATTTATGAAAATAATTATTATTGAATTCCTAAAAAGAATTTTATTATTTACGGAAATAATTGAATCCCCGTAAAAATTTTATGAAAATAATTGAATGATTGCGAAGAAATTTATTAAAAAAATTTGTAAATAATGAAATTCATGTGAAATTTTTATTATTTTTTGAAAATAATTAAAAGTTTGTGTAGAATTTTATTAAATTTTTTTTTTAATAATTGAATTCTTTTGGGAAAGTTTATGAAAATATAGTAGATATTGAAAATCATTGAATTGAGGAAAATTTTTGAAAATAATTGAATTTCGGAGAAGAATTTTATTATTTCTAAAGTTAATTGAAATTTTGATGAGAATTTTAAAAAATTTTTGAACATAATTGAATTTTTGCGAAGAATTTTATTACTTTTGAAAATAATTGAAATTCTGCAATCATTTGTAATTTCTCTAAAATTATCCAAATTATATCGTACAATTTACGAACTTTTCATCCTTTTTTGATAAAATTACGGACTTTACGGACCTTTTTTTTAAAAAAAACGGACTTTTACGGGATTTACGGACCTACTCAAATGTGAGTACTGTACTCACATTTGCCTGGACATTCGTCCAGCGGAGAGGACTACTGCAGAAAGCAGTACAAGCGGTTTAGTGATAGACATTGTGTAAAATAAACCATATTAAACTTGGTGATTTTTGTGTGGAGAATCAAGAATTTTGAAGCAGATTTGAAAATAATTTTGAAAATTATTAAAGAGGGAACAGTGGTGAATGAAAAGTAATGACTATAAGTGAAGAATCACCCATATAGATAAAGAGGATAAAGAGTATAAATATATATATATATATATATATATATATATATATATATATATATGTTTACTGTACCTTCTCTGGCTTTCAGGTACACAGTATTTGCTACGATGTTCTCCAACTCCATCAATTCCAGCTTGATCGAGTTTACGTGGCCGAACCAAGGTGAATTGTCCAAGACAGCTTTGTTGAGAACGTTGATGAAAATGAGATCGTGAAATATCCTCTAATACTTGAATATTGAAAAATCTTATTTCTTCGGGCTTAATCACCCAGTCTGCAATCAGACTTGCTCCCATCTATTTTCAAACAATTGTTCAGAAAAGAAATTCTTTTTCCTTTCTTTTCTCTCGCTCCCCTTGAAGAACCTCGTGTACCAGCCACGTGGAAATTTCTCTTCTTTTATATATATTTATGATGACAACAAAAAAATGAAGATCGATTCCAATTTCTTCTTTTTTCGCAAAATTCGAGTAGGAAATTTTTCTCACTTCATTCTTCCGTTATTTCCTCTTAATTTTTTACACTCGCATTATTTCGCGGATGGTAGAAAATGGACAATTATAAAAGATTATCGATCCGTACTTCAATAATGGATAATGGCCAAATTGATGGAATTGTGATCTGTTGAATTTTTAAACTCATGGTTTCTTCTTTTTTTTTTAATTTTCACTTTATAGGGGGGAATTTTTCACTTTCACGACGCAGGCGACGTTTTGTCGTTTGTCGTTCCGTTTTGAAAAGCTTCTTTGGGACTTTGGAAGAATCCTCACAAGGATATGAAACGCATTGGAGTTGCCTTCTTGAACCCAGAGATAAAGCGAATGTCGTCGTCCTCGTGGCAATGACGTCAAGAGAACGTTTGCAACCAACGCAGTTGTAATCTGTCTTTTTTTTTCTCTCTCTCTCTCTCTTTCTAACTCACTCCTTTTTTCTTGACTCGAATCCCCCTGGCTTCTATTATAATGTTATTGAAGATTTCTTCTTCTTCTCTTGTTTGCCAATTCGCCTTCCAAATGTAGACTTTCAAATCACACGTTCTTTTTCTAGAATAAAACAGAAAAAAACAGAAAATGAATATTTAGTTGTCCTATAAAATATGCTTTTTTTAAATGAAAAATAAAACTCACTAAACGAAATCTATAATATAATTTGAGAGAGTTAATATAAATTATCAGAATTTATATTAAAATGATTAGAATATTAAACTATTGTCATAATAATGATCCATTAGTTCTAAAACAGGGTTGCCACAAGTCAGGGAAATCAGGGATTTTTATTAAAAGAACTAGAAAAATTTAGATTTTTTAAATCCATAAGAAAATTCTGAATTTTGGTGTCTTTTTTTATTGCCTCTAAATAATTGAAATTACCACGAATTCTATAATATAAAATCATCAATTTTTTTTATTTCTGACAATAATTTCTTTTTAAATAATTGAATTCTTGAAAAATTATCATAAAATTATTACTTAGAAATTATTTCATGAATAATTTCACTTAACTATTTTAAAATTAATTGAATTTTTAAAGAGTTGCTTTTACAATTTTCAAAAATTGATAAACTTCAAAAGGTTTTAAATTTCAAGTTTCAATGAATTTTATTAAAAATATTAAAGAACTTATATTTTTGAAAAATTTTAATTCAAATTCTTCTGAAAATAATTAAATTTTTTTAATATATGTTTTATCAATTATTAAAAATCATGGATTTATAGAGGAATTTTAGTTCAAAACACTAAAAAAATTGAAAATTGCAGAAATTCAATTCTTGTAAAAATCTCAATTATTTTGAAAAATTTTTCTAAATTCAATGATTCCTATGAAGGCTAACCGGCATAAATAATTAAGAACTCGGTTTTCCTTCGAATAAAAATAGTTTATTAAAATTTGCGTAAATTTACATCTTAAAAGATAAATACTCTCAGACCTCAGGAGACATCAGGAGAGTGACTGACTGTAATTCGCGGACCCAGAGAGAACGCTTCTGTTTCTCCCCACTCTAACGCTCGATACTAGCGCTACGAAGATATCGCGAATTAATTTAAATTTGAAATTGATTACAAAATGATTAATCTCCTTCACCTAATATTTACTATATTAATGAAAATTTCCAAAAGAATTCAATTATTTTCATAAATAATAAAAGTTTCACAGGAATTCAATAATTTAAAAAAGAATTAGCATACATTTTTTTGAAAATAATCAATTATTTAAAAATTTTTTTATAAAATTCATTGCAATAATTCAATTATTTTAATAAATAATACAACGCCTCGTCGAATTTTAATTATTTTTAATACAATTTTAATCGAATTCCTCTAAAAATGTAATTATTCTTAAAAATTTTATTAGGGTAAAGTGCGGATAGATGCCCCCTTTCTCAGATCTCCAATATGAAAGAAACTATATTTGTGGACGTCCGCATGAAAAGGGACCACTTTGGCACTATTGGACTTATGTATATGGGCGAATTCCTGACAAAATTTGGAAAATTTTGAGTGGTCTTACAACCTTTTTGGTGAAAAATTCGATGAGTTACAGAATTTTAAAGTTTGGAGTATCAAATACGTAATTTCGAGAAAAACGAAATCAAAGACTGTAATATGAATATCTGTGGTTCTTCTGGGAAGTTATTCAGATAATAGTTGTTTTAAGTCTAGTGCACCCTTAAGATTGAAAATCAATAGGTTTCGAATTCCCCCCCCCCCTCATTTTTTAACAATGACAAAATAATGGATCTCCGACAAAGTGGTCCCTTTTCTAAAAATACGGTTATTAACTAATAAAGTGGAATATTTAACGAATTTAAAGGTTCGGTGTTATTTTTTAAAGTTATTTCAAGCAAAGAAAAGAAAAGTATCCTAAAAAAATTTTTTAAGCGACTTTATTATAAAAAATCTTAGAAAAAATTAAAAATTCCTTTTCCAAAAACACGAAATTAAAAATTGTAACGCGAATTTCTCCGGCTCTTCTGGGAAGTTATTCAGATAATAGTTGTTTTAAGTCTAGTGCACCCTTAAGATTGAAAATCAATAGGTTTCGAATTTCCCCCCCCCCTCATTTTTTAACAATGACAAAATAATGGATCTCCGACAAAGTGGTCCCTTTTCTAAAAATACGGTTATTAACTAATAAAGTGGAATATTTAACGAATTTAAAGGTTCGGTGTTATTTTTTAGAGTTATTTCAAGCAAAGAAAAGAAAAGTAACCTAAAAAATTTTTAAGCGACTTTATTATAAAAAATCTTAGAAAAAATTAAAAATTTCATTTCTAAAAACACGAAATTAAAAATTGTAATGCGAATTTCTGCGGCTCTTCTGGGAAGTTATTCAGATAAGAGTTGTTTTAAGTCTAGTACACCCTTAAGATTGAAAATCAATAGGTTTCGAATTTTTCCCTCCCTTCGTTTTGAAACAATGAAAAAATAACAGATTTCCGACAAAGTGGTCCCTTTTCATTTTTTTTTCTAACAACGAAATAAAATACTTAGAGTGTCAATAAATTAATAAAAACTGCATGAATCGACGTGGTAGACCCTGTAGATTAAGAAAAAAAGATAAAAAAAATTTCGATATTTTTCTTCAAAATTAGTAAATTGCGAATATCTCGGAATCTAGAACCGACAAAGTGGTCCCTTTTCATGCGGACGTCCACATTTATGGATTATTAGTTTTTTTTATACCTATTGGCCATAACAATTTTACTGTAAAGTTCCAGCTCGCTGGCAGCCCGGGGTTATTAGTTATAATAATGTAAAAATTTCAGATTGCCAAAAATGTCCAAAAATTTTCAAACTGCTGGACAAAATTCCTCATTACAAAAATCGAGGATATTTAACATGTAAGAAAATATTTTCAATTATTTTCTTGTTTCAAATTAATCAGAGAAACATATTAGATCGACGTTTTCCATTTTTTATAATAATTGTTGTAATAAATGATAATAACTTACCGCGGGGGGCGTCTTACCCACCCAGGTGGGATATATGGCCAAATACAGACCTTTTGTATTTTCGTTCTGATTAATTTATTATTTATTGTAGGTATTTGGTCGTTACATATGTTAATGATAAATAGTAATAGTGTGTAAAAATCGAATAATCAATTAAAAATATTAATATTTGTTGAATTTAGATGTAATTTTCGAATTGGGGGGCATCTATCCGCACTTTACCCTAAAATTTGTCAAAAGAATACTACAATTATGTTCAAAAATGTTTTCAAATTCTGTCCAAAATATCAATTATCTTTATAATTAATAAAATTCTTCTCTAAAATTCAATAATTTAAAAAAAATTTAAATAAAATTCTGCTTAAATAATAAATTAAATAATTTATTATTATTTTCATAAATAATAAAAATTTCACGGGGATTCAATTATTTACAGGAAGAATTTAAAAAAAAATTTAAAATTTTAGATAATAATAATAATTGAATTTAAATGAAAGTTCAAATGGACAAGTTTTGCGGATATAAATATTTTCAAAAATTACTGACTGCAATAAACATTTTTTATATTGAAATTTCTCGTTTGGAACTTTTAAATTGAAACTTTAGTTCTACAATAAAAAAAATATTAATTAATCAATTATTTTTGTAATTTTCCAAAAGCTCTTGAAGAATTCAATTAATGAAATACAAAAAATTTTTATTTTTTATAATATAATTGTAATTGCAACTCTACATGGTTTTTATTTAGAGTTATCAAGACAAATTATTCAAAATGTGTAAATAATAATCGTTAATTAAAATTAAATTAAATAAAAGACGTCGTAATGAACATTTTTGTAAAACATTTTTAAAAAAGTTTATAATTTAATAATTATAAAAAGTATTTCAGGGGAAGTGTGAAAAATTTTCTTTTTGACACTGGATAAAATTTAAGAATTTCTAGGAGAAAAAAAACTAAAAAAATTGTAGATTCTTATAAACTAGGAGCTTTTTTAAAATTTATAAATTTTTAATCCACACTCACTGTCAACTTTTAATGGTTTAACTCTCTGCTGATGCTAACGACCGTTATCGTCAAAAATTGTCATTCTGGGCGCCTGGTGGGGACTATGGGATTTACGTTCCTTGGCAATAGAGTGGGGATAAGTTAGCATCAGCAGAGGGTTAAAGTGACAAAACTAAAATTTCTTACGCTCTATCTAAAGTACTTTTCAATTATAAATTGCTATTTTTTATTTAGAAATACAAAAACAAGAAGATGGGTAAACTTTTAAATTGACTCTCTTTTTTCTCATTAAATGAAAATTTCATCAAATAGAATATTCTGCGCTAGGGAAAAAAATTTACGAAACTAGAAAATCTGCTGCAAAAGTTCTTTCAATTAAAAAATCTGCATTATTAACTTGAAATTAGTCATTTTCGCATGCTTTTTTAAGGTTACGACAGTTAAAATTTCATGATTTTTAAATAATTTTTAAAAAATTTTTAATATTTTTTCTTTAAAGACAATACTTATTTTTAAAAATGGTAATAAATTCTTTAAAATATAAAAATTTTTTCAATAAAATTTAACGAAATTTCCAATTGTTTAAAAATTTTTTATTTAATTGTTTTCAATACTTTAATTATTGAATTGAAGAAATTTTAATTAAATTTTAATTTAAATTTTTCGGAAAACTGTTTTTTTTCAGAATTTTTTAAATTAATTTATTCAATGATCCTCAAATTTCGCTTAACAATTATTTTTACATTTTATTTTCAATATACGAATATTCATCTATAATAAAGAGGAATTTTTGTTTATATTTGAAAGTTTTTTAACTAAAAGATTAATTTTAACCTTTCTTCTTTGATTGAAATTATTCCTCTCAAATTGAAACAAATCTATACTAGAAAGAAGATTTTTAAGTTGTTTTTTTGTTTTTCGGAACGCAGCTTCAAACTGTTTAAAAAGTGACATTTAATGGAAAATATAAAAGAGGAAAATCCTCTCAATTAGAAAGGTAAACTTTAGTGCTCATATGTTAGAGGAAAAAATGCTGCAAAAGAAGAGAAATAGTCTAAAATTAAAAACATTTTTTTTCGATGTAA